ATATATATATATATATATATATATATATATATATATATATATATATATATATATATATATATATATATATATATATATAAATGTAACATAAATATTTTATACATAAATTTAATATTATACATAAATAAAAAAATCTAAATATATTTTACATACAATATAGACAAATTATATATACACACATTAAAATGAAGTCCAACTTATTTTCCATATATTTTTTAATATCATTTGATATCATTTGATATCATATATAGATATCAAATTTCTATCAAAATAATATATCAAATACAAAATATAAAAATATATTTCATACAGAATATATATCTGAAATAAATTTAAAAAACTGAAAAAATGATAAGCATAAGAGACTCCTTTCAACAACATAAAAAAATGTATTATTCCAAACTTTTGACCGGTAGTATACATATTTTGTTAAGTCCAACTGTGCCCAGAGTTTAATTGAAAGACAAAGGGATGAGAAATGTCCATGCTGGAAACCATCTCATCATCTGGGTATTAGCTGGAGTCAGAAAGCAGCTCTGCCAGTTCAGGGGTTACAGATGGATCCCTCGGGGTCTGTATGACAGCGCGCAGGCGACATTAGAGATGACAAAGCTCTTGTTATTATGTAGAAATCAGATCTTAAGCAGCCCCGTGACTGCTGTGGGATTATAGATCAGTGTTTGACGCGCTGGATGAACTGCTGCTTTAAATAGACCCAACATCATCGTGCCACGCGGACCATGTTACAACCACCAGCGGACTAGTAAAGCAGCCTGATTTTCCTCCATTGCTCTCATCTCTGTCTGTCTCTTTATCCTCCCAGCATCTCACCCTCCTCTATTGATGGTTTCTTTTATCTCATATGTCTTTCTCTGTTTGTCATTTTCTTTCAAACTACACTACTATCATACTACTGTACAGAATGCAGCATGTATACGGTGAACATTATGCAAATATATATATATATATATAATTGAAGTTTATCACCGGCATCGTCTTTTTGTGAATCTGTCTGGTTTGTGAATCAAATATTGACAGAGGGCAAATCGAAGTGTAATGTTCATTACAAAATTCTGTTTATTTGAAAGAAAAAAAAAAAGAAAAAAAAAAATATATATATATATATATTTAATTATATGTACTGTATACTATGCAAAGTATACATACACACACATGTATATATGTGTGTGTATTTTCATAATGTATATTTATATGCATATATATACACACATACATAATATACAATTAAATGTCATTTTTATATTACATTTTATATGCAAGTGTGTGTGTGTGTGTGTGTGTGTGTGTATATATATATTTTAAGTAAAACTTTTTTTAACAGAAAAAACTAAAGTTTTAAATTATAAAATAACTATTTATTTCCAATATTATAACTGGAGACACGTAAATGCACTTAATAAAGTCAAGAGACAAGAATGCAGCATATTACATTTGACATGTTATTATTTTGTGACCTAAAAAAAGCCTCAGAGATGCTTGAGAGGAATTTCGCATCATTTTAATGCCAGGTGTTACTTCATCCTCTTATTTAAATGACAGAATCATGATATGGATGACTGACAGTCACACATGGTCAGATGGCACAATGAACGCCATTAATGCAACATGTGCTGAGTGAGTTTTCATATAGATCTTAGTAGCATTACAGTATGCGCTAGTTTACTGGGGTAATTTACGGTATGCAGTAGAACAACTGCAGAGGTCTAAAGCAGTCACCTTTGAGGGAGAGTATTTCATATCTGCACTAAAGAGGGGCTTAAAAGGCACATTTTCATTGGGAGAGAGAGAGAAAACAGAGCTCAGTTACATCCTTATCAAATATCAGTGCATATGTTCAGTATCCAGTATCCTGACGTGCACAGAAACAGAGATTAGGATAGTTAACATTGCAGTTGATACATTATTCAAATCTCTGCACTAGAGCTTCGGTTACATGATATTTTCAAAACAAACGACTTTTTTGGGCTAGGTAAGATATTATTTTTGAAAGATTTTTAAGGAGTATTGATGCTGGAGTATTCAGCTTTGCATCACAGAAATGAATTACATTTGAAAATATATTAAAAAAGAAACCATATTTGGCAATAATATAATAATATATAATAATACAATAAATATTATTTAATATTTTATACATATATAATTAAATACAAAAAAATTGCAGTAGGTAAATACAGAGTAAATACAGCTGGATTATTTAGGGCAGTTTTTTAAGCATATTTCATAAATTAATTGTATTCTGAAGTATAACTGTATTCACAGTATAAAAACAAGATATTTGAAAAAGAACTCTGATCAAAATTAGAGAACACTTACAGCTCTCGCTTTTCAACTGGCAACATTCCTCCAATTTTTGCGAGATGGCGGGCCGCTCTAAGATGACTGAAACCTTGCGACAGGAGGCCAAAGGTATGACCCTTTCAGCTGTTGCAAGAGAAGCTGGTCATTCAAAATCTGTGATTTCTCGAATATTGCAGGTTTACAATGAAAATAATTCATTCAAGTCCCCCAAAAAGGCTGGTCGTCCACGTAAGACAAATGCACGAGAAGACAGCACAATGCAGAGACTCTCAATGTGGAATCGGTTCAACACTGCAGCTGGAATTGCTTGCCAGTTCAGCGAAGAACAGGGTAAGAATCTGTCTCTGCACGATTAAGAGAAGTCGCACTCTGCAGTGACCAAGCCTCTCATCAGCAGAAATAATCAAAAGGTTAGGCTCATCTTTGCAGGGGAGATATGGACAGAGGAGAATTGGTCCAAAGTTCACTTTAGTGATGAGAGCAAGTTAATTTATTTGGGTCTGATGGGAAACATTTTGTTTGGGGTCAAACTGGGGAAAGACTGAAGCCCAAGTGCATAAAGAAGTCAACATGAGGTACCTTTGCTGCAAGCATCTCCCAACCAGTCAGCAATTTTCATGCAAGACAATACTCCCGTCACATTGCAAAACAAGTAAAGCAGTTCCTTGAAGCTGAAAACATTGAAATAATGAAATGGCCAGCCCAGAGTCCTGATCTAAACCAGATTGAAAATCTCTGGGAAATTCTTGATGACAAAGTTATGGCTAAGAAACCCGCTACAGTTATGGAAGAGACTGAAAGAAGAAAGGTCCAAGATCACACCAGCACAGTGTGAGAAACTAGTGATGTCCTGCGGCCACAGATGTGCTGATGTCATTCTAAGCAGGGGCCTCTACATTTCCTACTTATTTCTGACAGCTCTAACCCTCCAAAATGTTAGTTGTAATCTTCTTTTGTCCTTCAGTGGTTACTGATCGCTAAGTTTGATCACTGTGTTTTCCACAAAATAAAGTTTTTTGTTGAAACGCATTGGTTATTTTGTAAAACATATGAGTAAAACCAGTGGTATACCTACAAGCTAATATTACTTCAAATTTTGAGCGATGATGATTAACAATATTTTAGAAAAAAAAATGAAGTATTTATTTATTGTTCTCTAATTTTGATCTCTATTGTATATTAAAAATGTATATATATATATATATATATATAACTGATTAAAAATGTAAATAACTTGTACAAAATAAAATTATTTGCAAATACATCCATGCACTTAATTAACACTTGTGGATTAAGCATGCACAGTCAAAAGTTAAGCATAAAGTCAAAAGACAAGAATGCACATTTTACATGTTATTTTGTAATCTAAATACTCATCAGAAATGCTTAATATTTCACAATATTACAGTTTTTACTGTATTTTAATCAAACACATGCAGCCTTGGTGATCATAAGATGTATTGTGTGTCTATGTGTATATGTCTAAATAGTATACTTTTATATTTCTCTTGAGTTCAGATTCCTGACTGTAAATATAAGCAATATAGTAAGGCCTGCCTTAACCCTTAAATGCATACCTCGGGTCTTTAGTGACCCGGGACATCATTCTCTACCCTCTCCCTCCTTCATTTTTTTTAAGTTAGACATCAACTTTCAATCTATTAATTATAAACAATATAATCAATCTATTAATTATAAACAATATAACAAGAAAAAAATAGTCAAATATAAAAGAATGCCAGTTTTCTGATACATTTTTTGTAAAAAGTGTGTACGGTCTCGCTAGAGACCCGAGGTATGTAAATGTGTAAGTATTTTTTCCTGCGCAACTATATTTACATATCTGATGACTCAATATGTGCAATGCATCATTTTTCCTCAAGGTGGCACTGTTAGATACACAATGATGACGTGATGTTTCACTCATAATTTCGGCAGGCATAAAACAAACGAATATCATCAGCAAAAATTGAACTGATTTGAATGGCTTTACTGCAGAGCAATTACTATATGCAATGAAATATAAATGTCACTGTCATTTGATGCTGGATGTGGTGAATAAGCTGCCAGTGATCAAAATATTGAATATGAAGTCATTGAAAAACGATAGTTTTGAGAATATAGTTGAAATTGTGAATGTGAGGCAGATGCTGGATGTACTGTGGATGT